TCTAAGTAGAAAAGTAATAACATTTCGTCAGTTCTTAATCTCCCACCCTGCATTGTGCAAGGCATAGAAGATGTGGTATCTGCCCTCAGGAAGCTTAAATACATCTTAGGAATGAGATGAAGTACCTGGAAATCAACACCAGGCCTCAAAGAAAACCACGCATCTCAGCAAATGTGAGGGAGTAACGACTACAGTACGCTACCTCCAGCGTTCTGTAAGAGATAAAACTGACAGAACTCTGTCCTCATGGAGCTCAAAATCTAATTGGTGAAATAGACATTAAATAAACAATTACAGATTGCATGAAGTGCTTTACATATGCCAGTATATAAAGTGTACAATAAGAAACATGGCACGTGGGTGTTTATTTACAGCTGGATGTTGGGGAACAAAAAGATATGTTTAGTCTCAGTCCTGAAGGATGAGGAAGAATTAGGCTAGCAGTTGGTGGAGAACGTTTCATGCCGCAGGAGTAGCAAGTATGAAATCCCTGGGATGGTGGAGCTCTGGGAGATCAAGGATGTCCAAGAGAATCACTGCAGCCAGGGAGATCAGTTAAGGGGAAGTGGTTTAAGGCAAGGCCCTGAGGACACTGAAAAGCAAGAGAAGCCCCACAGGTGGGCTGAGGACTTTCAGTAAGTGTAAGTGAAATGGGAATCTGTTGTAGGTTTAAATAGAGAAGTGACAATATAATTTATGTATAAGAAATCTTTCTAGTTACAAGGAGACTAGGTTATAGAGAATTTAGAATACAAAAAGGAAGCAGTTCACCATTTTTGCAGTAAATCTGGTCATTGAACGCTAAATTTCAGCTATTTCCCTTCACCACAGTGTGCATTGTGAACTGCTGGGCTGAGACAAATACAGCGCCGCTCAGATAACTGTCACCTCTGCTGAACTCAGCCAACAGGCGGCGCTATCCAGAGCCTGCACACCCTGGCGAGCAGAAGCATGGAAGGAGCCTTCCCATTTCTTGCTTTTCTTTTAATGAGCAAAGACTCTGTGTGTCATTCTGGCAGCAGAAGCGCCTTTTAGGCACGACAGCTGAATCCACTTTAGTTTTCCGCCTTTCACGTAGCTAGCCTTTCTGTACCCCTTGAGTGGCACCAACCATCTGAGGCCCTGCTCAGAGACCCTTGGGTCCCAGGCCGAAGGGAGTTGCTTTTCCGGTGCTGAGACTCATCACCAGCCATGCGGTGTCCCATCTCAGAGTTGGAGGGGTCTGAGTGTCAGCTCTTCGGGGTCCCTGCCCTGTATTCCTAAGGTTTAAGAATCCCAGCTGTTTTTGTCTAGCCCTAAAGGGAGCTGTTTCCTGTGGTTGTTGGCTCCATGGTACCTTCAAATTCTCTTTTTACAATTTCTGTTCTTCCATTTCTAGACAGGAACTCCTTATATTAAGTTTCCTCTGTAAACAACAACTGACATGGCTTGTCTTTTGGCTGGGCTTTTACTGATACAGGGTGGGGCTTTCCCTCCCCTAACTTTGGAGATGTTAAATATATATCCTTATTGCACCATCTAACAGTCCAAACTGATACAATGACAGAAGCTGCCACAGAATAAGTATAAGCTTTGCAGTCAGGAAAACAGCTGAGCAACTTAACTAGCGCTATGGCTGCAAGTTCCCATGGTCATAGTGCTAGTAACTATGTGAATATTAATCTCTGCCTCTGAAGGTAGGTATAAGAAGTTTCTAATTAAAGGGTTGTTTGACAGACTGGTACACACTCAATTCATGGCAGTCATTTCTAAATTACCTTACGTAGAGTGCATTAGATCCCAGATAATTCGTTAAAAGACTACTTCAGTGCATGCTCTGTAAGTGTTGATTATTTCTTGGTCTCTTCACTGCATGTGCCTCTGATTCTGGACTTCTTCTCTCATGTACCTTCCTTGAAGTCTCCATACACACAAACCCACTCAAATTGGTCTGCCTTTTCTTATTTCAAAACCAGTATCATCACAGGATCAGGAAGAACCCACAAACATAACACCTGATATTTTGTAAGCGTGCAGGACTCATTTGCTGGCTGGCCTCCCTGGCTTGCCAGCTGCTTTCTCCTGGCTCCATCTGCTCCTTTCTTCTGACTGGGCCAAACATCAGGATGAAAGGGCAGGGCGGGAAAAATGAAAGGAAGACTTTCCATCGCACCTTGTACCTCGTGGCTTCTTGCTCACAAGGCCAACAGCACTTCAGCAACCACCCTGTCTTTAGCATTGGAACTCTGAGCAGCCCAGGGCTAGCAGCTAAGGCCCATTGGCAGTTGATTAAGGGATAATTAGCAAGCCCATTCAGGGGTATTAGCATTTCTCAGTTTCCATTTGTAAATCTGTAGGCCTGCTCAGGGGGCCCAAGGGAGATTATTGAGTGTGAGGTCCTAAGGTTAAAGAATGCATGTGTGCAAGACATCAGCTACAACAGCAGGCAGTGTGAAGCAGAGCAGAACAAGAGCAAGGGTGACAGGACTACTTTATTGTATAATTCTTACACAGGTTGTTATCTCATATTTACATTCTTACATAGCGCTGTAATCAGTCCATGCGTGTTTACCTGTGCTACGTCATGGTTATATAACTGTATCCCACTGTGCGCCTGTGCTAGACAAGCGAGGTCACATCCTCAGGTGTCCTTAGATGCCCCTGAGCTTTGAAGCAGTATCATAACTAGCTTGACTAAGGTACAACACAGCTAGTTGGAGAGTCTGTCTGGGAATTCATCTCTAGGTCCAGCTGAAATGCCCACTGGGGGTCCTTAGGGTCTCAGCAGGCCAGGCGCTTCCCTTTTTTGCTATGCCCTCAACACTACGTGCAGGAGACCAAACCCCAAAACCTAAAGGGCTCCCCTAGAGCATAGAAGTACAAATGTCTACGCTCCTGGTAAGAAGGGACTTGGCCATATTAGAAAAAACAGGTTTGGGAACTATATAGTCAGACACAGGTCAAAAACTCAGCTCCTACCCTTATCAGCTTGGTGACTTTGGGCAAGTCATTTAACCTCAGTTTCTTTGTCCTATGCAATGATTTTTTTTCTTATGTTTTTCAAAACAAATGAGATGGGTATTTAACATAAAAAAAATGAATAGTTGCCATAAGCTCAGGGAAAAGATCAGAGCAATCAATAGGCAGAGAGGATATTAGGGGAATGAAATGATTCTGTGTGATATTACAAGGCCTGACAAAATACAAAAAGTGAACCTTAGTAAAAACTATGGACCTCTGCTAACAATAACATAATATCCATTTATCTCTTGCAACTACTGCGCCTACAACGACAGCAAAAACTGCAGGGACAGGCCCTGAGGAACTCTTCACTCTGCTCGATTTTTCTATCCACCTAAATAAAGCTGCTCTTTACAAACCAAGTCTATTATTTTAGAAAATGGTATATTGGACAAATGACCTCTTATGCAGAGCTGCCCATTGTGTTTGAGACTTTGATACACATGTGAGTCATCCCCAGGTGACCGTGGGCCTGGACAGGCCTGAGATTTGACATTTGTAGCAAGCAGTGTTGCTGGTCCAAAATTTTATTTAGAGCCTTGAGGCTCAACCATCAAGGGGAAGTGGCTGGGAATTGCCAGTGCACAACAAGGTGCACCTGTTGCTAAGAGGCTTCCCTGCTCTCCCTGTCTAGGTATTGAGAAAGCCCAAAGTCTGGCTTCTGTAATAGCAAAATCTCAGGAACTTTCATTTAAATGGCAACTGACACCAGGTGTCCAAACTACAACCCCAAACACACTTATTTACTGCAAAGGGCCAACACTGCAATTAAATATGAATACTGAGGTTTTAGTTAGAAAAAACAACTGTTATCCAGTGCTCCACTGCTGCGGGGACCTGGCTTATGAGCAGACACAAAGGGCTCTGTGTGCCTCTCTCAACAGCATTGAGTGGCACCCATGCCATAGGTTCCCACCCCTGGTTTAGGTGATACCAACTGGTAGACTGTATCATGCCCATTTCATAGTTGAAGAAACTAAGGCTTAGATTAAATAAACATTCTCAGAGCTTCCCAGACAGGAAAGGAAAAGAAGAGGAGCAGGAGGGACTGAGAGACTCACCGTGATATAAACCTAACTCTGCCATGTTGCCTCCGCAAGAGGGAGAGGTCTTGAGTCTGTCTGCACCCTCGTTCAGTCCCTCACAGACTCAGTGAACCTAGAAACTCATTTAGATTCTCAGAATCTCAGTTATCTCCTGTCATATGGGCAGAAGAGTGACCGCAGTTACTTCCCCAAGGCTGCCATGAAAAACCAATGAGAAGGTCTGTGAAAAATTCTTCTATTCTCTAACATGATACAAATGCTAGTTATTGTTTTTATGATATCCTAAGAACAGCTTTTAGTTTACATGTACACACTCTTTCCTCCTCAGAACAGCCCTGGAAGATAGATATTATCATTATCATTATCATTCTCTTGCACAATGAAGTAAACTGAGGCATAAAGGTGATGAGAATTGGTTGTGGCTTCAATGTTACTAGAAACAAGACCTGAACCAGCATTCTGATTTTAGGTCTTATACTCTTAACCTCCAGCTCTTCCCTTCTATCCCCTGCTGGTTTTATAGGTGAGGAAAGAGGTTCAGGGAAGTTAAGTGATTTTTCCAATGACCACACAGTGTAACTCACACCGTATCACTGTCTAAGGTAACTGCCCAGACTCAATGAGTCCTACCTCTCTACCTTGCAGCATCTCTGGCTGCTCCTTCTGTGGTTCGCTTGTGTCTCACAAAAGTTCCTGTGCTGAAAATTTGGTCCTCAGTGTGGTGATGCTGAGAGGTTCTGTAAGAGTGGGGACTATCAGAAGGTGATGTGGTCAATGGGAGCCCTGCCTAAAGGAGGGATCAGAATAAATGCATGGGATCCTGGTCATTAAGGAGGGATTGGTGGAGACTTGTGGGATTCTGGTTACTTACTCTGGAGTAGTCTTTATTTTGTGAAAGGTGGTCCTGGCCCCGGAGTCTCTCCTTTCTGTGTCACTGTGTGATCTCACTTCTAGGGACTCCTGTCATTGTGATGCCGTCTGCCAGGAGCCCACCACCAGAGCCCACACAGACCAGGTCACCTGATCTTGGACTTCCACCCCAGAACTGTGAGCTAAATACCTTAAAAATATAAAATACCCAGCCTTATATATCAAAATACAGAAAATGGACCAAGACGAGTTTCCATCAGAAGAGAGGTAACTTTTTTTTTTTTTTGAGAGGTAACATTATTATTTTGGTCCTTAAAAAAAAGGAAGGGTGGTCTTAAACTCTTCCAGCTAGGTGAGTGAGACCTAGCAGCCTGTTATGGTTTGTGTCTGGATATCCCCCTAAAGCTTCATGCAGTCATGGGGCGGGCCTCTGAAGTTATGATTGATCCATGGTTCAATGCTGGGATCATGGGTGTGAGTGATATACCTGCCCTGGGGTGGATATGTAAGGCAGAGAAAGAGGCTGCTTGCTGCCACTCCTCCCTTTTGCTCTTGTTGCTTTGCTGTTTTCTGCTGCCATGAATGGTTGCCCTGTGCCATGTGCCGCTCTGCCTTGGAGCCAGCCAAGTATGGACTGAAACCTATACAAACTGTGAGCTAAATAAACCTTTCCTTCCTTAATTTTGGGCATTGGGTATTTTGTCTCAGTAAAGAGAGAAAAGTAACCAAGACACAGCCCCTAGCCCACTTCTAATCACCTCCAGGCCACATCCTGAGAGGGCCCAGTATCTCACCAGCATTGAGCAGACACACCAGATGCATTTTAAACCATACCCTGAGAGGTGGCTTCTTGACCTGGTGTCCCACATTCCTTTGTATAGCAAACTCAGCCCAGAATGCTGGGTCTAAAGTGTAACTAATCACATATTTTCATGGGGATTATTGAAAGACAGTCTGGTAAGAGGGCAGCATGGACCTTGGAATTTGAACACAGACTTCTGGTGCTTGCCATTTTTGAGTGACAGTAGACAATTTCCTCAGCTGGCTGAGCTTCAGTCTCCCTGTCTATGACATGAAGACAGAAAACTGGTGGAATCCTGGAGTAGGAACATGCAAATCTACCTACTGTGCAACCCTGGAGCTACCAGGAACCGGATGTAGTCTACTACAGACTTCCTGGAGAGCTCTCCAGGATTTTCTATCACATCAGTGTGGTAACAAAGTGAGAGCTTATATGCATCATCCAGAGACTTGAACACAAGGTCTTGCTTTATGTAGAGTTTACTTCTTTTTGCCTTAGCATGCATCCCTTTCAATTTCTGCTCTGGGAGACCAACTAAACTCATTTCTTGAGTGACATACACCTTTGCTCTGCCCAGCAAGGAATATATCCAGCTTTTTTCCCCCTCTTTTCCACTCTGGTGCTGATTATAGTTTTATTTGACAATATATCTTATAGGCTACATAAAAGTTTCAATGAGTTTGGGAGAGTGTTTGGCACATAGTAAACAAATATTAATGGTAGGGGCTGGAGTGTTGCTCAGTGACAAAGTACTTGCCTAGTGTGTGTAAGACCCAGGGTTTGAGTCCAGAATTGCAGAAAATGAAACATAAAAATAAATAAGTGGAGCTGGTTGAGCAGCCGGGGTAGCGTTGCTGTGGTATTTAGGCAGCTGCTTGCTTCTGTTTTCCCCTAGAGTCCCTGAGTGTGTTCAGAGCAGGGCCACATCTAAATCGCCTCCTACAACCCTGGCACACAGTTCCCAGCATAAAAATGAAACTGAACATGAAGTTCCTTTACAACAGCAAATCTTCCTACAAATGCAACTTACAGTTGTTGAGTAGAAACTGGTCAAACAGAATCAAACCCCTCTCTGGCCATGCAGATGTAAGGAAGTTCAAGGATGAGGACTTGTAGACAAAGGTCCTGAGACTAAGAGAGAACCAAAGCCTGCAGGAAAGAGAGGAGTTTTCCTTGGCTCTGCTCCAGGCCATTGGGGCCAGATCCCTGTGACAGCTGAGAGCAGCAGCTGCCTGCTGGAGGCTGGGACTGCTGTTTGAGTGGGGACTTGTGAATATAATGGCAGGAGGGGATGAATAGTGGATCTGGTTGTTTTCTTTGTCTTTTCCAGGATAAGAAGGGCTCTCCGGTTCTGTAGCTACTATAGCTCTGCAGTGGGCAGTGGTGGCAGTGCTTACTGCCCTGGGTACAATGCTGCCTACATAGCACCCTGTCCCCTTCCTGGATGCAGACAGGAGAAAGCACCAACAGCCTCATGGAGCTCCTCAGAATCAGGAGCTGGGTGGGTCATGCGGTGATAGTGTGGCCCTAGCAGTGTAATTAATGTCCGTGGGCCTCAGCTCCATATATTTACACTCAGCATCATAATACCCATCTTGGTTATGTTGAGGGGCCTATATACTGTAAGACATAGGTATGAAGAAGAAATTTACTGAGCATCTGTCATATGCCAGGCATTGTGTTAGGTAGAGAATACACAAGAATGAGGACCACATGAATCCTAGCCTGGAGGAGCTCTCACTTTGGTAGAGAGAGGGATTAACAACTCGTCATGGGTCACAAAGCCAAACAGAGGCAGATTGATGCTGTCTCCCAATGGCCTGCACCAGTGCAACAGCAAAATGAGAGTTTCCCGTCCAGCTTATGAGCTAACCAGAGAGCTGGACTTGATTTTGGGGGTAGAACTTGGGACTCCAGGAAGAAATGAAGAACTCCCAAGCAGACTGGTCGCCTGTAAGTCCTAGGACTTGGTCACCACCACTCAGGGATAGAAGCATCAAGAAGATTTGAGGAGCCCTCAGTCTCTCTTCAGTCATTGCTATCACACTAATATTTATGACACCCTGCTTTTTGAAAGGCAGTGCTAAACTACGGAAAACCAACCCTGCGAAAAGACAAAATCACCGTCCTTTCTTTGCCAAGTAAACATTTTAGAGGGAAAGACCAGTAAAAAACAAACACAAACTCACCTTGATTGTACTGTATACCAAGTACTGTTCTAGGCACATCACAAATATTTTTAATATTAGAGCTGCTCCTGCATGGTCCTATCAGTATTGCTATTTTATGAATGAGAAAAAAGAGGCTTGGGAAATTAAACATCTTTCCCAAGATCTCACAGTTAATACAGTATGAAGCAGAAGATCTGAATTCCAGCATCAGATGAAGGAACCAGACCTCTAATCCATACTCTGTGAAGTTGATCTGCCAGCTAAAGAGATAGTGTGATGATGAGGGGTGGGTGGAGGAGACTCATCAGAAGGAGTGACTGGAGACAGCATCTGCAAAGATGATGAGATATTTAATCTAGGGCCAGGTTGCTGAAATGTTCTGGTGGCTGGGCACTGTGCTAGCTGTTGATTAGGACAACTATTATGCCCTCTGGGGCTTACAGCCTCATGGAAAGAAGAGTGATGACATGGTGCAGGGAGGGCTAATTCTGACCTATGACTGTCCAGGTGAGCAGGGGAGATTCTGGGAGAGAGAGCTCAAATTTGCTGGGGGAGTGAGAGATGGGGCAATGAGCATCCTAGAGATAGCCTTGCTAAAATGGCCTTTGGCTCCTGAAGGAGGAGCAGAATTACAGATGGAGGAGATGAGAAAACCTTCCAGGTAGAGAGCACTGCGCAAGTAAAGGCAGACCTCTGAGAACAGGGTCACAGCTATCATACACTGCCATGTAAGGAGTTTGGTCTTCACCTGAAAAGAAGCTTATGATGAAAGTCCAGGCCAAGTACACTGGAGCCCCAGAGCCAATGTCTACTTTATGCCGGGCAGCACTTGGGGAGGGGGTGCAGGGAGAAGGTCAGGGATCCACAGGCTGAGGGAGCAGAGGACGGTTGGGCCAGGCAGTCTCCTGTTTCAGGCCACCTACTGTAGCAGAAAATGGACACCACCACCCCCGCCACTGCCAGTATACTTCAGTTTGTTAGTTGCCCAGGTAAGAGTTCCTGTTGCAGATCTGGTTTCTCTTGCTTCTAAAGAAAGGCTGGTCACTGTGATGCAGAGCTGGTCACTATGATGCACATTGTATGAACCAATTCCCAATTGACAAGCCATTCTTCCTCTATACTTCCTGCTTGCTTATCTCATATAAGCCCTAGACCACCAGAGATCAGGTCCTGATATTCTGGGGATGATCCTGTTCAGTGCCTGTTGACATAAATAAATCTGCCTCCAAATCCTGGGTGTTGTTTTGGTGTTTCTGCTTGAAGTGCACTACTGGTACTTGCAAAAGGTAAGCTTAGAGAGAAGATGAACCTCTGAACTTGCTTTTGGAGGGTGAAAGTAGTGGAACATGGGACTCCTAGAAGGGAAGACTGAGCCCCTGGGAAGATGAGCTGCCCAGTCTGGTCACCTGGGTATTTGGGGGTGATCTAATAATGAATGATTAACCCCCATAATAATAAGAGCACTGGAGTGAGGCAGATTTGTGTTTGAGACTGAACACTTCTGCTATTACTCTTTACTAAATGAGCTTTGGCCTATTACTTTACCTTTCTGTGCCTTGTTGGTTTCCTCATCTGTAAAATAAGGGTAATAACTGCATCTGTGCAAGTGGGTGCTAGGGGATCTGTGAGAGCACTCATTTATTGTTATTGTTAAAGGAGATCACTTAGGAGGCATTCGACACGTTGCCCCCCATACAGGTGATGAATGAGAAGAGAAAAGGAATGCATTTCTGTAGAAATGGGAATGGAAGGAGGAGGAAACCAAGGGGATGCAACCTTTCAAACCAGAGTGATTCGCCTACTCCAACCACAAATCTTATAGTTGGAAACCAGCTGTTTGCCTGTAAAGAGATGCAAATCAGTACATTTGCCTGTGAGGATCCTGCTTCTCTCTCCTTCCTTTTCCCAGAAGGTTCCCCTTTAGGAAAAAAATCTCAAGTGTGCTGAGAACCTACTATGTGCCAGTTCCTTTATCAAGATCTTTCTTTTACAGCCACCCAACCCCTCTGTTAGGATGTGAATTCTTTTAGCCCCATTTCGTACAAAAGCAGACCAGACTCAGAGAGGTGGAGAGCTATGCCTGCAATTCCAAGCAAGCACGCAATGACTGGATCCTGGTTCAGACCCACCTCTGCTGAACCTGCATCAAGGCCTGGCAGGCTCTTCCTGGACCTGGGAAGCACTTCCCAAGGCTTCAGGATGACACCACTCAGGCTCGAGAGCCTTCAAACACATGACAGCGGAGGGGGAAGCATTTCCCACAAGCTAGGTGGCTGTGTTTTATTGGCCCTTTTCCCTCCTGAGAGGAGGCAATTGAGTTAATTATTTGGGCCAGGAGTTCCTCAGCAGTATCTGTTGAGATACCCATCACAGCTCCTGGCTGCCAGCCCCAACCAGAGCTTTTGTTTGCTGAGATTCCTGCACTCAATTGCTCATTAACATGATTGGGATAATGTTCTCAACAGCCCTCCAGTGGAATAACTGGAGAAGAAAACTGCAAAGGCTCTGAACATTCAGAGACTCCTGTACTTGCTCTTCCTGACCCAGTCACATAACTGGCTTCCTTTGGAGAAAGAGGTCTACATTTGAATTCTGCAAAGATACTCACTTGTTAGGTTATCTAGGCTTATTATTTTCTCTTTTCAGATCTTCGGTTGGTTATTTGTAAAATGACACTCTTAATATCTCTTGCTTAAAAGTTGTTTCTAAGACTGAACCAAAAGGAAGTCAGGAAGGAAGGGAGGGAGGGAAGGAAGGAGGGAAAGAGGAGGCTGATTTATTGAGTGCCTCATGGATCACAGGAAATGCAGGGACTAAAATATCATCTGGTCATTCCTACAATCCAGTGAAATAAGAAACAGTAGTCCCACTTTAAAGATGAGAAAACTGAGTGAGAGGGAGATTCACTTGAAAATTTATCATTAGTAATTTAGTGTAAGTAAGCACAATGATTCAAACCAAGCCTGGATGCCTCCAAAGCCTAATCTATCTCTTCCTCTTCTTCTGTCTTTCATATTCATGTATTTATTCTTCATCCTCTTATTTACCCTTATTTGCTTGTTTTTTTTCTCTTCAGTCACTCACACCATGTTATTTCTCTAAATAATCAACTAGGAGGAAAGAAAGGGGTCAGATGATACAGCAGCCAAGATAGTGAAGAGGTGAACCAGGTCTGTTGTGTAAGCTCTGAGCAGGGAGAAAAACATTAAGAGTGTAGCGAGGGTTAGGAAAACAGTCTCTCCTCTACGGATTTATATATTGCCAGTCAAGGTCAAATCTGAGATAAATATTTAATTCTGGAAACATCCCCAGTAACTGAGAAGGAAAATCCCAGCTTTTTCATCTACTCCCATTTCATAGATGAGGTTTACATCTCGCTTAGAGCCTCAGTTTAGATATGTGGCTCTGCTATTATAATGAGACTAGACAAAGCCTTTATACCACCTGAGCCTCAGTTTTCACACCTATAAAATGGACACCATAAAAGCATTCCTGTCTCAGACTTCAGTGAGAATGAACCCAGATTGGGAGGTGTGAAACTCAGTTCCCTGCCTGGCACACAGCACAGCTCATAGCATTGCTGTTGTCTTTCACCAAGGATTAATTTGTAGCTCTGGTTTCCTCAAAACTCTCTTCTGTGATGTGAAGGTCTTTTGTAAATGTGAACTTTTCCCTTTCTGCAGACTTCCCATGCTGATCTGTCCTCTTTAACTACAGAGGTGTCAAGGAATCTTTGTGAATCAGCCATCAAGTGTAGGCTGCTTGATGTGACTGTGGGGTTAACTTACAAGTGACTAATTTTTGGAGGTGCTTTTGTACCCTTCCCACTGGTGACACTCGAGCTGGCTGTAATTACCGCTGAAGAGTTTGCTGAGGGGCTCATTAAAGTGTCAAGATTAATATCCATATGAATACTTTCAACAAAACCTTTTGTTCTTGGAGTAGGGGTTGTGGGAGGTGGTTACAGGAACTGTCTTGCTTTTCCAAATTTAATTGTCTAAATACAGTGCTGTCTCAGCAATCCAGGGCTTTTTTTTTTTTTTTTTTCATTCTGTCTTTCTTACCACAGCTCTGCCAAAAATCTGTTTGGCCATAGGAATGATTAGTTTGTGTTTTAGTAAACCTGCGGCAATGATCACTTTCCCTGGCAGAGAAGGGAGTGGTAACTGCTCTCCCTAATCAGTTTGAGCTGTTATTTATCCAGCACAAGTCTGGGGCAAAGATTGTGAGAGCTGCGGGGAAGTGGAGGTCAGTGGCTCATAATCAAGCCTCTCTCCTTTTAGCAGAAAAGCTTTGGGGTTCCCATGAATGTCCTGTGATTACAGCCTCCCTACCCTTTTCCCAGTCTGCTGAGTTAATAATACCTAACATTGCTGTGAGTGCTCTGCACTGTGCAGTTTTGTTAAATTAATCCTCGAGATCACACAGAAGGAAGAACTAGTATTAGCATTAGCATTTTGCACAGAGGGAAAACTGAGTCTCAGAAACTAGTTTGCCCAAGTTCATACAGAAATTAAGTGATAACATGAAGTTATTGAACCCAGGCTTGTCTGACTCAGCACCTGAGCTCTTATCCACACTCCTTAGCTACTTTCAGCAGTTTAGGGCTCCTAGCACCTCACTTTCAGGCTTGCATTGGACCATCATGTAGAAAGTCCTGCTAGACCTCATCTCAGTCCAGAGGAATCCTCATTTGTAATCACATGGGAAAGTTATTGGAATCCTAGCAAGTTAATTCCAATCTACCAATTCTAGTGCAACACATGGTGAGAATAGAGACACTAAGGCATATTTGTAGTTGTGGGAAGCCAAGGGGGTCCTAAGTCCAGCTAGTATGATGGTTAACTGGAACAAAGGCCTCAACCCAGGGCTAAACCCAGGTTTTATTAATTTGTAAAGAGGCAGGGGGTTGAGGATGAGTGACTGTGAAATGGCCGGAAGTATGTGAGTGCCATGTGCTGGGTTAGGTGGGAGGCCTGAAATCACCTCTGCAGTATGCAGAGAAAGAGATATGTAGAAAACTCTACATATCTGCATAACACTATTCAAAGCAGTATCTAATGTTTTGGAGTCCATGCTAACTGAGGGTGGAAAACACTGCCCTGTCATCTTTGCTTCAAAGACTGGAAATCAGCACCTGGGCTGGACCTATTTGCATTGCTTAAAGCCAATTGAAGGGATAAGGAAACATCCCAGCTAGCTCTGTACATATCAATAAACGGAAACAGGGCCAGGTTTAGCCAAGTGGAGACAACTGTTCTTTCAAGGAGAATTGTCCAGGTGACCCTCCACACCATGGAATTTGGTAACTGGAAGGAACCTATAGATAGGATGACCAAATGTGCTGCTCTGCCAGAAGGAGGGGTTTCTGCGATCTGGGAGTTTTTTCAGTTTAGGACTGAGACAGGTCACTCAGTAGGGTGTAAAACTGGTGAAACTAATAAGCAATAGAAGTACAACTATGACTAATATTAGGTATCCTTATTGCCTCTTCTCCCTCTTAAATTTGCAGAGGAAACTGAAGCTCCAAGAGGGGAAATGACCTACCCAAGGTTATCCAGAGCCTTTGTGGACTGCAGAAATTGGAAAACAGACCTTGGGACACTCAGGCCATTTCTCTTTTCTAATAAGTGAAGCTGCAGAACTCAAGCCTAAGAGCATCTACTGAACCCCTACCATGTAAGCAGCTGGGCTGTGACTTAGCACAAATCCAGGAGAAATAGGTATGGAAGACAGGACTGCCTAACAGGACTCTATGATCATGCAAATGTTCTGCATATTGCCATCCAATGTGAGAGACACTAGCCATACATGGATACCAACCAGAAAGGGGTTTTCAGTCAGAGGGTGGGAAGTCTAAGAATTTATGCTCTGGGATGAAGCTAGTTTGGGAAAGAGTCCCCAGGTCTGCTCTTATGGTGACATGACCGTGAGTGGGCCACCATCACCCACCCCTTTTTTGCCCCAATTTACACCTTGGTGAAAATCAGAACAAAAATGTGTAACTCATGGGGGCATAGTTGAGACTGTAGAGACAGAAAGGATCTGATACCTGTTCTCACCCACCACAAGGGTCATAGCCAACATTCCCATCACCAAAGATAGGTTACCCTGAAGAATGCACCACAGATGTATTTAATCGAATTTAATACGGCAGAAGAGCCTTGAGAAGTGAAGTCTCAGGTAAAGCTGTCTGTTTTCATGCTTGAGTTTCCTAAGGAGAAGACAGCATGCAGAAATGTGATTGGCCAAAATGGCTCCCATTTAATGGTGACAGACTGAGCTCAGATTCATAGTCTCTGTGTGGCCTCCTCTGTCCTGGTCCCAAGACAGGACCTCTCAGGAATGAGGTCTTCCTGGAAGATGGAGAAGGGAGAGAGTGACCTTTCTGAATTTTATGGCTTGCCTTAGGGGAGAGGATTAAAGTTCTTATGGCCTTGGAGAAGAGAAATTTTGGTTTTTGCAAATCACTGTGGGAGGAAGAGAGAGGTACATGATAGGAGAGTGCGAGCAGGCGGGGGCAGCCTGTGCTTCAGAGGCTGCTTCTGGGCATCCAGGCTCCTTCTACTCGGAGTATTTGGCAAGCCAAGGCACAGCCCTTCAGGGTGCAGCCCTTTGAGGTGTCCATTCTGAGCCCGGGGGGTGGGGGGGATCTTATACAAAGCACTTGATAGAGCACAGCCTTTGCTGCCTCCACCCTTGCCTCCCCCTTTCTCATCTTTTTTTTTTTTTTTCTCACCTTTCCTGAGAAACCTCGCCAAAGCCAACTGGATGGTGTGCAATGGTGAGGTCCTGAGCCCCGGCTTCATCCCAGCCTGAGCCCTCAGCGAGGCTGGGCAGTCTGCAAGGGGGTGGCCCTTCCAGCCGATGTTCCCTCAGACTCTGCCAGCTCACTTTTGCTTCCCAGCTCTAGAGGAAAACACAGGAGAAGGGAACTAGACATAGCACATAGGCTTTTCATCCCAGCACGCTGGGAGGCTGAAGCAGGAGGATCACAAGTGCAAAACCAGCCTGGGCAATTTAGCAGTTTAGTGAGAACTTGCTTCAAAAAAAAAAAAAAAAAAAAAAAGGTTAAGAATGTAGCACAGTGCAGAGGCCCTGGGTTCAATATCCAGTACCACACAAAGGAAAAGAAAACAAGGGGAGGGGAGAGAAAGAGAGTGTGAGCTCAATCTTCAAGATGCATCTGTTGAAATCCAAGTAATTTTAGTTTTTTAAAAAATTATGTAATTTCTGTGACAGGCAGAAGAGCTCATATCAAGGGCCCATGTTTTAATTGAATGTGATGAAGCTTTTCTCATATCTCAGAATGGTCATGAGGCAAGACTATGAAGTGAATCTTAAAGGAGTGTGATTTCTTTTTTTTTTTTTTTTTTTTTTGGTGTTTTGAGACAGTCTTGCTATGCGACCTTGCGCTTGCCAGGCAGGCGCTTTTGCCGCTGAGCTAAATCCCCAGCCCCAGGAGTGGGATTTCGTGGGTAAACTTTCTCCTGAGGAAGATGACCCCCAGCACACTGACTCCGTCCCTTAGGCTTGGCCGGGCAGGGAGTCCCTCTGGAAGGGAGCGCTCCGCATCTCCTGGATGACAGACTCTTCTCATATGAGTCATGCTAACACTCTCGTGTCTGCACGTCTGAGCCGCCTTCCACACTAGTGGTTTCTGGGGTAGCTTTACACACCTCATCTCCAGCACAGTGTTGGTCACACACCTGAAGTTCACGAGGAATAATAGCCACTTGTTAAAATGCGTTGATTTGTTTTGTTTATATGTTTGTGGCAGGGTGTAGCATGGATTTGAATTCTTCAACCCACCCCTTCCCACCCCTATCTTTGCCATAAGGAAATCTCTTCTGTACCCCTACTTCGCGGGCACGTGTACATGTGCACACACACGTGCAGGCACACAAAGGTTTCTCTCAGGTGAGTCCAGAAAAATCTCAATTGCAAAAAAAAGCTTTTTTAATAGCTCCATATAAGTTCATTTTAACACTGAAGGATCAAAGGCCCCATTCTAAACTAATCGAATTTATTTTACTTTTCCAAATGTGCAAAGAAAACTAGACTAAAGTAGAAGTTGGAGAAAGGCCACTCAGACAAGCCCAGAAATTATAGCTCAGCTTCGAAGGGTTGCTCTGCTCACATGTGATTAAAGTTTTCCCTGCAACTGAACGGTGCTTCCCAGGCCAGGCACAGCTAGACCACCCGGGCCCATGGCTTCTGGACCTGGCAGGGTGGGGCTTCCCAGGGCCTGGGTCCAGGCTGGGGCTGGAGACCCTGAGCGCCTGTCATTTCCCTGCCTCCCTCCTTCCTTCCTTCTCTCCTGGCAGAGGCTGTATCCTGTTGCTTTGAGCAGGGCCCAAGAGAAAGGCCAGCAGCAAGTTATTGTGCTGGGAGCAAAGACAAATGAGTCCCTTTTCTGTGGCGCTCCTGGCATCCTGTTGGAGGAAGGAAAGGACAATGCTTGGAGGGAGCTGGTTTTGCTGAGCCCCTCCTGATGGCTCGCTCTCCCCTTTTCGGTGCAACCCCAAAGCCTCCACTTCCTGAGCAATCATTAGATGCGTGTGAGAAGTATGTGAGTCCTTGGCCATGGCAGATTCCTGGCCCAACCTCAGGAAGCACAGCTCAAAGGGCCCTGGCGGGGATCTCTGCAGCACAGTCTGGGCCCTACCTCCCCTGCTGGGGCAGCTATGCCAGAGCACTCTCCTCCCAGGGTCTTGGTGGCATCGGTCCCAGTGCCTTCTGTGTGCCTTCACCTGCATCAGTGTTTCTGAAATCCCCCTGGGGAGCTTTGATGCTATGTGCCCTTGATATGCCGCACCTGGACACAAGGCTCAGCGTGGGCTTCTTCTCATCAGCAGAAATGCTCTGTGATGATTCCAGTCCCACCTGAAATAACACTACCCCTCTCTCTCCTCTTGCCTAGTCCTTTTCTGTCCTTGTTTAATAAATTGGCAGGTGAGAGGTGGATAGGCACACAGACATCAGAAGCAGTGAGAAGTGGTTAGGCGAATAAATTCTACAGACAGACTCCCAGCGATCGCAGTCCAGAGCCATCACCAAATGATGGCAAATGTGGAAGAAAGAGTAAGCTGCTTCCCTTGATTCAGCTGTGAAAAATCATAATAGTAATAACATCTTTCTAGGATTGTTGTAGGGCAGAGCTGGCAGGTACAAAACCTTTAGTATTTGGTGAGTTGTATATGCTATCTACGTAGTAAACAGTATTATTATCCTATAGGTTCACAGGTGAATTTCTTTCATTGAACATATAAATTAGCACTTTTTGGGGGACAGGCCAATCACTGGTGATTTAGGAATAAGTAAGATAAATGTTCAGGAAATTTCAGGTTAGCAGGGGTGGCAGATGCAGGAAGAAGTAGTTGTGGCACAATCTTGTCACAGGCTGGCTTCCCCGGAAAGCAGATTGGGAAGGTATTCAGCACGTAGCACACTCGTAGAGAACCTGGGAGGGTCCTGTGGAGGGGAGAGGCAGCACCAGGGCTGGGACGTGGGAAGTCAACCCCTCCAACCAGGCCCAGAAATGATCTGGCCACCTCCTCAGGAGCCGGGGTAGAAGGGTGTTCCAGAGAGGCATAAAGTCAGGCCCAGATGGCAGGAGTCTTTATGGCATCAGCTGGTCCTCGGGTGACCTTGAGGAGCATGGTGTCCCTGGTGGCTGACAGGTGACAGCACTCTTAACAGCCAGGTAAGGAGATTTTCATTAGAAAGGGCTCTGGAGGCAAATTCTGAATAGAGAATAGGCTGAGGAGGTAACAGTATATTTTAAATACCTGATATTTTTATGGTGTTCTTCCAGTACAAAAGTTTGCTAATGGTTTTCATCTAGGCCAGTGATGATGGGCCTATGGCACGCATGTTATTGTATTTTTCTTTTAAGACAAAAGATGTTAATGTATGAGCTTTTTCTAAATTAAAACTTCGGTATTCAGTTGTAAGTGCAGTGTTGGCATTCTGTGAAAAATAAGTGGGTTTTGTGTTGCATTTCAGGCACTTGTCTCTAAAAGTTTCTGCACCACTGATGGCTCTTGACACAGGCTGTAAAGGTATATGCTATAAAGGAAAAAGGTTTGGATCTGAGGCAAGAAATGACACCGTGGGTCCCAGGTCTGCCACTCTCTAGTGTGGGGTCTATGGGCAAGTATCTCATGGGTTTATTCTGTAAAAAAGGAAATAACTATGCATAATTCATAGATTTGCTGTATGAATCCAGTTAAGAAATACAGTACCTGGCATATCAATTAAAATTAATAGTCACAGCAAAAACAACTTCAAAATAAACAACAACAAATGTTATCTTCCATTTTACAAATGAAAACACTGAGCCCTATATAGACATAGTACTCTTCTGTAGATTACAAGTATGTTCAAGATGATAGCTTGGCATTTGCCTATGGAACCCGCAGGAGTTGGTCACTCTTGGAGGGGTTGGTTCAGTTTTTATGATTAACATTAGAAGGAATCTTGTAATCTTTGTAAATTAGACTTCTGCATGGTCTAGTCCCCACACTACATAAAATATAGAGAGGAAAATCTCAGTAGTAATTAAAAACAAATTCCTGTAGTTTTTCTTATATCTCTGGGGAGCTTTAAAGAACAAGCCCCACAACAGGTTTTAAGAAGTCTTTCCTTTCTTACTAATCTGTTGAACTCTACTGTTG